ATTAATATATGTATGAAGACTAGGCCATTTATATAGCCTGTTTTTAGAAAATAATCCTTTTATACATACGGTTTTTACATTATCACTTAAAACTCAGGAATATTAAATTGTACTTTTTAGCTTATTGAAAAGATGACTGTTTCTTACTACTCTACCCCTCCCCAATCATTCTTAAGTCTAGATTTTTTCCTATTTATTTTTTAACAGTTTAATTGACATATAATTCACATAAGAAACAATTTAATGGTTTTAATATATTTAAAAGAGCTATGCAGTCTTCTCCTCAATTAATTTTAGAACATTTTACTTATTTTGTATTCATTATTGTTGGGTTCCTATTTGTACCCAACCTCTCCTTACATAACCTTAAGAAACTATTAATCTAGTTACTGCCTCCATAGATTTACTTATCCAGGATTCTATGTAAGAAAAATCATATCAAAAAGAAAAAAACAACAATAAGGAAATTAAACAGAGAAAACCCTCAATTGAAAAGAAGGCAGAAAATAATAACGAACACATTAAAATGGGTTAAAAGGGAAAGCAAATGAGAAGACGTTAAAATTTACTATATCTCCAATAATTCACTTTGTGATACAATCTGAGAGCAAGGCTTTTCAAGTCCCTGATCAATTATCCAAAGGATTTCAATAAAGGCTTAATCCTCATGCAGACTTTGCAAATGGATTTGGGGTTTTCACTGTCATCCTTAGCCCTCTACAAACCAGGTGCTCAGAATCTAAGCTCTACTACCATTCCCTTCTGTGATCATGGATTTTATTATTTGCAATCCTTGGCTCACACAAGCTGCTGTCCTTCTGTGTGGATTTAGCTAACACCTAACTTAGATAGCTGCTTGTTTTAAAACAAGCATTTAAGACCCTAGACACTATTGTTTCTGATAGCCAGGCACCATCTAATTTCTTCACTATTTGCTATAGCACTTGTATCATCAGTGATCCTTTCATGCAGGTAACTATTGAGCAGAGCCACATCATGAGATTGATTGTTCTTAGGATAGGGCTTACAGTTAAGTGTGAGCTTAAAATCCATTCATATTTTGTATATGAATGTAGGTGTAGATAGATCCCTCTTGCACTTTAGTATGCCCTTTCCTTTAAACAATACTAGAATTGGCTCTGTTGTGTCCTGTTGAGTCAGTTCCAAGGGAGAAAGCTGAGGCATCCCACTCCTGTACAGATTTAGTCTCAGAAACCCAAGGGACAGTTCTACACTGCACTATAGAGTTACTATGAGGCAGAATTGAAACAATGGCAGCAAGGGTTTTCTTGGGGGGAAGTATGGTTTTCGAGAGATAAGATCTTTTGTCCCATAAAGCTAACATGGAGTTCATACAACCAACCTCTTGATTCTAAATAATAACAATAATCTGAGTATTTTGGTTAAAGATAGTTTCTTAGACCATACATAAATTATAAGTATATATTTTTCGCATATCTTAAGCAAGAATCGCCCTCAAACTTAATCATTCTCCTTCTTTTCAAGGAACAATTGGCCATTACTTTGAGAGGTAAATTTCTCATTATGAGTTTACATCTCAGTTCCCAAAATGCTTTTTCTTCATTATTATAATGTCTTTCATTTTTGATGCAAAAGAAAGGAACTAATTTGTAAGTAGAAATTTGAAGAAGTATAAGCTACATTCTGGGAGGAAATCTTTTTTTTTTAAATCATTTTATTGGGGGCTCATACAACTCTAATCACAATCCATACATACATCCATTGTTATCAAGCACATTTGTA